ACATAATGGGAAAAAAGGAGTTGGAAACATGAAGTTTTTAAGTAAATATTCTTCCTCTGGGGATTAGAAATGTACCAAATATGTTTTTAGTACCTAGTCTTAGGAAGACTTAAGTATCCAGTCCACAATGCACTGAATTTGGGTTTTTCCCCTGTTATTACACTCAAGCCTACTTTCTAAACATCTTATTTCAAAACAAATGCTTATTTTGTGCTTTCTTTAGAGCATTTTTAGTACATTTGAATTCTGAGGTACCTATTCTATCTCTTGTGAAAGCTAAGAGTAGTGAAATGAAGCAGTTGTGATATAGCCTTAAGTTTTTAGGGTAACCTAAGATTTCAGTGAAAATTGAAGTATACAGTATTTTTTATTTCATTCAGTTGTGCTCAAATAACTCTAATGTGTTCAATGCAACTTTCAAAAATCTTGTGTTTTAGTTTCATTCTATTCCCCTTGGTCTATTTGCACTAATTTTAAGGGCAGGGGGTAACATCAGTTCTTTTAGTTTGAAAGTTTTGCAAGTATAGAAAACAGCAGATTACAATTGATGAGTCTCTTGATAATTTAGATTTACTCTGAAGTATTTGGGGCACTATATGGAGTATAATAAAAGTGAATGAAAAGCTAAACTGGTGACATTTATGGAGTTTAAAAAAATCAATAGTATTTACCCAGTGCTTTAATGTTTTCTTTTAAATATAAAATTAAAGCACCCATTCTATTTATCTGATACTCATATATCCTTTATACTTAAATGAAAAATCATAAAGAATGCTCTCATTTCTTCTCATTTTATCTTTTTTTAATATGGGAAATCTACTGAAAACTTGCCACTTTAAGAAGGAGAGTTTTTTTTAAATGTTTTGTGTTGTGCATCAATAATACACACATAAGTCTTATATTTGGGGGGGGGTTAACAAGTATTTTTCTTCTATAAGTCACAAAGGATATTTTTCTGCATTGATTCTGTCAGCTTTATGGTTTTACCTTTCACGTTACATTGCTAATCTACCTGTGATCCACCTCTGTGTAGAGTGTTGGGTGAAAACCTGTTTTTATTTTTTTCTCTCTGCATATGCAGCCAGTTATGCACCGTCTTAACTGTGTAGTAAGTAGGCCTTGTGCAGTCGTGAAATGTCTCAGCATTCTCGCTGCTGCATGCCAGCACTGCACTGCTTTTGTTGTCACAGAACAAGCGCCCCTTTTTTGTCTTAACTTTTTGTTTTTAGTGCTGTTTTCACTTTTGTGAACTATTGTTCTCTCATATGCATTGGGAATAAGGTTGAATTTCTAAATACTAATAGTATAATGCAGTAAGAAAACCAATGTGAGATTACACTCAATTTATCAATTGATTTAGTGAGAACTGAAGTCTTTTTTCTTATTGAGGTATACCTTACACATAACATTTTTGTTAATTTCAGGTGTACAACATAATGATCTTACATTTGTATAGTCACAGTTAGTGATCACCGTGATAAGGCTATTTATTATAACATACTTAACCATGTATAGTTGCAGACTTTTTTTGTGTGTGCTGAGGACTTTTAAAGACTTACTCTTAGTACTTTTCAAATATACAACGAAATATTAGTAACTGTAGTCACCAATTTGTACTTTACATTCCTGGAACTTATTTTATAACTAGAATTTGTACCTTTTGACATCCCCTTCACCCTTTTTTGCTCTCCCCCATTCCCCACCTTCGGCATCCACCAGTCTGTTTTCTTTGTCTGTGAGTTTGAGTTTTGTTTGTTTAAATTTCACATAAAAGTGACATCATACAGCATTTGTCTTTCTCTGTCTGACTGATTTTACTTAGCATGATGCTCTTCTCAGGGTCCATCTATGCTGTCACAAATGGCAGAATTTCCTTCTTTTTTTATAGTTGATTAAAATTACATTTTATATATACATATACCACATCTTCTTTAATTATTTATCTGTTGATAGACACTTAGATTGTTTCCATGTTTTGGCTATTGTAAATATTGCTGCAGTGAACATGAGGGTGTAGATATCTTTTTGAGCTAGTATTTTTATTTTCTTCAGATAAATACCCAGCAGTAGGATTACTGGATCATAGGATAGTTTGATTTTTAATTTTTTGAGGACCCTCCATAGTGCTTTCCATAGTGGCTGCACCACTTTATGTTCCCACCAAACAGAGCATAACTTATTCAGATCTTAACTTTTTTTTTCAGTTTTTAATTTTTTCTCTGTGGGGGTGGGGGGGGTCCTCTCATACTCTGAACAGTGTTCAATTCTTAAATACGTGATGGGGTTGGGTTTTTGTTTTTGCTATTGGGAGTGGTAGCTCTTTGTTACATTTTCTGGTTGCTGGTATAGAGAAATAATTGGTTTTTTTAAAGTTTATCTTTTATCTATGAATCTTGCTAAAACTCTAATTACTTCTACTGCTAATAATATTCTGGCTCTTGGTGAATCTCCCTGTGATCCTACATAAATGTTTATATCAAACACAAATAAGATGTAAATAAATATTCCTCTTGTTCTTTCCCCTTGCCTTTACTTTTATCTTCTCCTTCTCCATCTGAAAAATAATGGTGGCCAGGGGTTCTACTTCTTCCTTAAACACAACAGGGTCCGTGGGCGTTCTTGTCTTACTCTCTGTCCACCTTCTACCATGTCTGCCCCTTGAAAGGTCACAGCAGTTTCTCTGTGAGTCTCTGTCCTCATTTTTTTTTCCCCACACTATGCCACATAATGCTTTTGAATGCAAAGTGTTCCTGTACAACAGAAGTTTATAAATGACTACTTCTTAAACAGCTTTCTAGACCCCAGGGGTCTGGCAATGTTTCATACTTTTATTTCTAAACAGTTTAGATCAAAATTTAATAATAATACAAATGCATTCTGGATCATCTGAATAAGCTACACCTATGCTCCTGTAATTAAGCTGACTATCTGTACATTTTTTATTTTGCTTGTGTTAGACAGAAATAGTACTAGTTTTATTGTCTCTGGCGTCATCTTGATGGCCCCCTCCCTCTGCAGTATTTAGCACTGCTGACCCCTGCTTCCTTCACTTCCTGGGTAACCCTGCCCCTCTTCTGGTCCCCTCGGCCCAGCTCCCTGGTGGTTGTGACGGTGCTCAGGCTGCATCCTGGGCCCTCTTCCGCCTGGCCTGAGTGCTTTCTCTGGATCACCTCATCCCTGCTCCCGTCTCACATCTCTTGACGCCTGAAGTCCAAAACCCCACGTTAATTTTTCCCACCGCACTTCCCCTTCTGTTACCCTATTTCATTCAGTAACTGTCCATCCTATTACTTCATGCGGAATCCTGGGTGCCACCTGTCACTCTCCCGCCCCGTCTTCATCCCTCCTTCTTGCTAAAGAGCCCATCTCTTCATTCCTGCCCACCTCTACTCCACAGTCCTCCTGCCGGACCTCGGTGATCCCCGGCCACTGCCTGGTGGCTGCCCTGAAGCTGGCAGCTATGGAGCAGCACCCTGATTTTCTTCCTCATGCCAGAAGCAGCGGCTCCTTTGTTGGCCTGGTGTTTTGGGAATTGCTCCTGAAAGTTTAGCTAGGCTCCCTTTACTCATCCTTCCCAGTGGTTCTGGGAGCTACTAATATTTCTTAGAAACAAAAGTCTCTGTCTCCAGCATTTCCTCTTTCCCATTCTGCTCTCCCTTCTGCAGTTCAGAGTGGTGTTTGTAAAATTTTCAAGTGTGTAATCACGTCAGCCTCTTCTGCTCCAAACCCTTCTGTGAATGCCTGTTACTTGTTAGACAGAATCAGAATCCCTAACAAAGCTTGATCCAGGCTTTCCTTCCTTACTGGACTCTCCCTGCACTTCTCCCTCTTTTGTGCAGAGTTCCTTTCATTTCCTGTCCTGTGCCATGCGTCCTCTCCCCTCTAGGGCCCTCACCTAGAGCCATGCGCCCTGGCAGGAGCACTTCCCCCATCACTTCATGCTGGGAAACACTTTCCTAGGCAGCCTTTCCCAACCTTCTACATCTGGCTGCTGGGACCCCTGACACCCCTGACGTGTGATAAATGTTCAATAACCATTTACTGTACAAAAGCGAAATGGTCTCCCTCTGCAAAAATGTGACTAACTAGTTCCATGTGCTGATTAACCAAGTATATCTAGTCCAGGGGATTTATTAAAACTGTACCAATAGCAGTAGTCAGCCAAGCAACCAACCCTTCTTCCTTTCCTTCCTCTACTCTTTTTTAAAAATAAATTTATATTTATTTACTTGCCTCCTCTGAGTCTTAGCTGCGGCATGCAGGATCTAGTTAGTTCCCTGACGAGGGATTGAACCTAGGCCCCCTGTACTGGGAGTCTTAACCACTGGGCCACCAAGGAAGTACCCTCTTTTTTTTACACGAGTAGGTTTGAGCACCCAGGTGCCAATTTAAGGAAATGTTGAGATTAAAATCAATGTGAACTTTCTCAAATTTGAAATAAAGTTGGTCAGCAGTCTTGAACCCAAGCCCTCAAGCGTCGCTGGGATGGAAAAGAGTCCCTCATGGACTCTCCATTGGTCTCCATACTTTCTTCCTTAGTTAGGATGTCATTAGTTTATGTGCTTCAGAGAATTACTAGAACCATGGATCCTTCATCATGTTTTGCCTCCCAAGTATCTGAATGTGAAGTCTCTGCCTTACTAGAAGTACTTCATTGAATAAAGCAAGGAGGAGGTAGTTGAATGAATACCCTTCCACTGATGTAACATTGAATTGAATCCTAGTCCTAGAGGGAATGGACTTTGTAAGCCTACTGAATCAAGATACAAGATCAGCGACAGATCATTTATGTTTGTGCAGTAGAGATGTATATAATTTTCTTCCCCAGGGCTGTAGTCTGTTTTTCTGTTGAACATGTACCTGTCTTTTGTCTAACTTTGTAATACTTAAATTTCCAGCAGTGATCCAGCTCTTCATGTGCTGAACCTTTAAGTGATCCAAATAAAACTGGATGTATGAATGTATGAATACATGTATGAATGTATGAATAGTAACTGTGATTTATTTATGAGTTTTTTAAAACCACAAAATTCTTTTCAAGGGATTTTAATTGAGTAAAATAGCATATTAGATTGAGCCACATGAAATTGCTGTTTTTATGGGCCAAAAAGGTTAATTATCAGCCAATTCATATGATTCAATCTCATTTTTCTGGAAGAATGTTATATAATACTTGCTACTTTTGGAAGAGTGAATTTTTAAAATTTCAGTATGTATTTCCCTCAAGTGAAATTAGCAAATTCTGTGTCATCCTAGGAACAGCTGGATTTTATGATATTGTAGCAAAGAAAAATGTATTAAGTCAACTAAGGTGGCTGGTGCTCCTAACCTGGTGAGTTTATAAGCATCAGTGAAATACACAGCATTTTTCTGGGCTGATTGTCAATTTTTTTTTTAAATCTGTAAGTGCTTTTTATCTTTTTATGAGTTATGAAAAATATTTAAGGTTTATGCCTACTTTGCTTGCTTAGAGACATTGGACATAACAATAATTAAAAGTAGCCCCATAAAAAACAACCAGGTAACTTTTAATGCTAATGAGATGGGGTTTTTTGTTTGTTTTGCCAGAGCCCAACTCGATTTTTATGTAAAAGTGAGGAACTAGAACACTGAGATGATTTATTACAGGAAGGGTTTTAATAGGGTTTGGTTTCAGTGAGCTCGTGTGTGACAAAGCAAATTGATGGCAGTGATAGGCTAGTGATGTCATTGTGATGTCAGTACCCCTACTCACCCCGCACGGGCTTGCTGGTTTGGAACACTTTTTGTGAACCCGCGGCAGGGGAAGCCAGGCGGTGCTGTATGCAGAAGCCCATCATGGCTGTAACTGGGGATGAAACAGGTAAGAATTTTAAAGAGGGGTTTACATTCTGCAGAATTTTTTTTTAAGTTTAGAACAATTATTTAGGGACCTCTTGAGTGTTTCCCAAAGTATCAACTTTCTAGTAGCTGAGAAGTAAGACGTTTCTTCTAATCTGTAACCGTAATCTGCTCGGCACCCTGTGAAGGCATCTGAGTATAGTTGCTTCTTCGCTCAGTACTGAGCTGTTTCCTTAGCCAAAGCGGTAATCCGCCGCCGCCCCCACCCCACGCCCCTCTCTCTCTCTCTCCCCATTTGCTCTACTAAAATACGCTGTTGATTCATCTGCAACCTGTTGCAAATCCAGTGCAGCTGCGAGTGAAACACACATTCTGTTCGAGTTGTTAAAAAAAAAAAGTCAAAGTCAACTTCCGATTTTTTTCACGCTGTGTTCAAATGTAGCTGCAAAACAGAATAATGAACCCAGCGCGTCAAGGGTGTTGGTGAGCCTGCCGTTCCTTCCGTCCTGTGGAAAACGGTCTGCTGCTCCGCTCACCGGGTTCAGAGGGCCGACGTCATTACATTTCCTGGAATCGGTGCAGCGGGGAGTGGAAAGTTAAACTGCAGGCGAGCTGCACGCTGACGTCAGTTCGAGTCACGCCGTAATTGACTCAGTTCTTTCCGCTCGGCCGCGCGCAGGTGGGGGTGGCCACCCTCCCCGACGGCGCCTTTAGCTCCCAGCAGGTCCCGTAAGCCTTGCTTTCACCTTGCGCCCCAGGTAAGTGTGTGCCCGGCGGGGCCTAGCGGCCTGCGCAGGTGCCTGGGGACGGAGCGCCCGCTCGCGCTCGGCCCAGGGAGTGCACGCCTTTGATTGGCCGCCCCCCACCTACCCCACCCCCACCTTCACTTCTTCTTGGGGGTTGATGCTCTTAGTTACAGGTAATGCTTGTGATTTAGTGACTTGCAGTTGAGTGCCAGACCCATACTAAACTTGCAGTCGAATTTCTTAAGAAAGGGTGACTGTAAACACCTTTTAGCTGTTCACTTGGTGGATCTCGCTCTCTCCCCGAAGGGAACATTCCATTGTCTTGAGCAAGTAAAGCCTGTGTTAAATTGTTTTTCCCGAAGAAGTTTTTGTGAGATTTTGGAGGTGCTACAGATTGCAGAAGCCCTCAGATGACAGACTTATTGTAAGAGATAGATAGACTTAATCTCAAACAGTCCATGTCATATGATTTTAGGACCAAAAGCATTTTTGTGCATGCATTTATTTTCTAAAAATCATTAGTTGGTGTGTATCTTTCTTTACTAAGCCTTTAATTCCAATTTTCATGTCCAAACATGAGAAACAAATTATAGCAAAAAATAAAATTAAATGATTGGAGAATACCTAGAATATATTTAAATGTTAAAGTAAAATGTGCATACATTTTTAACCATTGCTTGTAAATAAGAGAACATTGAACATACTACTGTCCTGTGAGAAAAGATTTTTTTCTCACAGTTTTGTCCACAGTGCTTATACCTGATTTACCCATTCCAATTTAAAATTTTCAGAATGCTGAAATTTTTAAAATGTCAAATGTTTTTCACAAGACCTCACTGTGTCTTCAGAAATCATTATTTTTGGAAATCTGGTCAGTTCTCACAGAATCAGTTCTGTTTAAAATGCTATTTGAGAATGAAAAGTGTATTTTATTTGCTTTTTTGAGGAGCTCCCAAAACACAGGATTTAAGGGTTCTTTTGAAGGCAGTAATGCAGCTTTGGGCTCCACCTTGGACTTCCAGTTTCATCCCCTCTCCATCCGGATTTTGAAGGGAGTGGATAGAGCTGGATCTTTGACTTGCCAACTTTTTGACCATGTGTGTTAAGTCTCTTCAGTCGTGTCCGACTCTTTGTGACCCTATGGACTGTGGCCCACCAAGCTCCTCCGTCCATGGGATTCTCCAGGCAAGAAGACTGGAGTGGGCTGCTACTTCTTTCTCCAGGGGATCGTCCCCACCCAATTTTGACCATGATGCACATTTTACATCATGCTGCAGTAGACTTTGTGTGTGTGTGTGTTTATATAAAACAGGTACATTTATATAAAACCAGTTTCAAAAATAGTGCTTATGCTCTGTGATATACTATGTATTCTATTCTTTTTTTAATGTTGTTCTTGACCCATGAATCTAATGAATTGCTTATGGTCTACAACTTATAGTTTGAAAAGCTTATCTAGACCAAAATCAGGCTCCAGAATAATGACTGGCCTAGAAAAGGTTTTAGGAGGATTTGCTTATAGGATCATGGAATTGAATGTGAGAGTGAATATCCGTGTAGTTTATAGAATTATATTATTGTTTCTGTTGGTTATACTTTTTTGTTGTTGTTGGTTATACTTTAAATTTTTATCAGAAATAGTTTTTGTCATGGTATTCAGCCTGGATTTCTGAATTGTTAAAAAGTTACAACTTATTCAAATTTGGAAAATAGTATCTTAATATTTGATGCATGAGAATAAGGATACATTTCACCTTTGTGAAAGGGGGCTGCTGGAAAAGGTTTTTGTTTGGAGATTTTCACATGAAAAATGTTTTGGATCAGGTTGTAACTGCGTGGAAGGTATACAGAAACTGCCATTGTGTTATTTCCCCACTATTTTTGAAAAAATATTTTAATGAAATACAATTTTGGATGCTTGTTTCACTTTGCCCAGTTTTATATGCCTATATGAATATGTTGCCTAATAAAATAATTATGATGATACTTTGCATTTATGTAAACTTTAAAAAAATCACTTACTGTTACAAATAAACAAATACAAATGTGGCGAGTGCTATAAGAAAGCTGGCAGATCATGAGAGACCACAAGAAGCAGGTAACAAGGTTAAGGGGTCAGGAAAGTCCCCACTGAGGAAAACACATTTAAATAGGTGAGAGGAGAAGCACTTCCAAGCCTTATCGCGGTAGACTGCTGCTGATGTTACTCTTATTCGCATCTAGCCGAACAGGGATCAGAGTGGGTGAAGCTCTTCTTGCTCACAGAATTAGCAAACGATGAACCCGTTTGGATTTTCAGACTCCTTGTTGGGTCCTGTTCATACCATATCATGTTACTTTTTTCTAGAATATTTACTTTTACTCTCCTAGGACGATATAGTATATATTTGCTATTGTATAGAACTTTAAATTTTGACATTCATAATTTCATCTTTAACATACACTTTTTTTTTCACTTGAAGAATTTTACTTAATAAACAATTCAGGAAGATCCCTTATGGGTAACTTAAAAAATAGTACTGGCTCAATTCTACAGGGTCTGTGTGTTACAGTATTTGAAATTTTTCTAATTTTGACAAATTTGGCAAATTTGAAAGTGTTCAGTATTTAGTTACATTTACATAGGATTTCATTTACCTGGGAAAAGGGGGGGGCAGTGGAGGAGGGGACGTTTTGGATGGTGTCAGACACCAGGCGAGGACAAGCCTGGTCTGGACATTTTGAGTCCTGGTGTGGTGGCAGGGAGGAAGAGGGCCAGAAAAGAAAAATGAGGATGTTGTTGGTTTGCTGGAGCCAGGGCAAGCAACCCATGCTAACCAGTATGACTGCTAAGTCACCTCCATTGCTTGCATTTCTCCAGTGTGTGTGGGATTAGCCAAATAGAGCAACATGACACATGAAGGTAGGAGCTGTGTGTAGAAAAAAAAATCTTTATTCAGTTAATGTGCTCAGAGAACTCAATAAACAAATGAGCAAATAATATCACCATCATTAGGGGTATTGATAAATTGTTTCACTTTGGAAGTTATCAAGCTAGCCATTTGGTTGGGTTTCTTCTTTTCTTTGTTAGGAAGAAACAAGCACCTTTGACTTCTGGGATTTTCAGTTTTCTTAATACCAGGATGATGAGATTGTACCATTTGTTTATTTGTGATTCTCCACCTTTGAGGTCCTCTTTTAAATGATTATACACCTTAAGAAGGATGTTTTCTATTATTGTTTAATAATTTTATTCTCTAAGGGGATAGAATATATGGTAGAAATTTTTATAGTAGAAATTTTAAAAGTTTTTTAAGAGGCATATTTTTTAAAAAGCGCAATAAGGAATAAGAGCCACACATTTCAACCATTTCCATTACCCAAGTTTGTTAGAAGGGAAACTCCAGGGGGAAATATATTTATGGTTGTATATGCCTTTGAACTAATTAATATACAGTATAAGCATAATCTGGAATATTGTCTTTCAGAACTTAAGGAAGGGAAGAGGAAGGGAACTAACATTTGCTGAAAACCTACCATGTGCCAGGCACTGTGCTAGACACTTTGACATACATTACAGGGTTTATTGTGAGTATGAAATGAGACCATGTATCCCCATTTTACAGATGAGGAAACTGAACTTGCCCCAAGTCACATGGCTGGTAAGTGGCAGAGCTGACTAGGACCCAAACTCCAAGCCCCATGCTCTTTCTGCTGTTCCGTGTTTAAAGCTTTGCGAAGAGAGGTATGAAGTTACTGACCAGAAGTGAGAGTTCTAGGGATTTTCTTTCTCATGAAATATTGATACTAAACCTAAACATTTCTTTTTTTTTTTCATGTCAGGAGTTAGATGGTTGGAATGACACTATAAATAGAACTTCTCTCCTTCTAAAATGACATGTTAGATGACTACTATCTAAGGGAAGACTGAAGAAATAATGCCTTTTATCAAGAAGTCTGAAAAAACACATGGCACCTTATCGGGCTTTCCATGGCTTAGTGTTAAAGACTTAGCTATAATAACAATAGCTAATTTTGGTCTTATAATCATAATATTGCTTACTTTAGACATTCTAAATGACAGTGGACTTTTGCAAAACCCCAGGAAGTTCAAATTTTACTCCATGTGGTGCACATGTAAACTCACCAGGCACTCATAATATCAAAGACTGAGCTAGACTCTAGGGGATACCAAGGTAAAAAAGATGTCCCTGACTTGTCTTTAAAGTTTGCAGCCTTAGAATAAAATTAGTATATCAATATCTTTTTCTTGTTTTTCTTTGATCATGAGTTTAAAGCCCCCACAGATGGTCTACTTATTTTCAGAAATAATGTGTACAGTGAAATTCTGGAATAAAAAATAATTTGGGCACTTTTAGTAGTTAGAAGGAACAGGAATTGGCTTTTGTAAGAATCCATGGATCAGAGTGTGACACCGAAGAATGTAATAGGTTTCTTTGAACTCTGATCCTCAGCATCTAACCTGCTTTAAATTACCACTGAATCACTTCATTGAAAACTAAAGCTAAGACAAAAACTTTCTGATAACTTGTTTCAAAAACAAAACTTTTTGACGTTTGGATTTCCTTAAAACAAAAGATTCTCTTTGCCCATATCTTATTAACATGCTTACTAACAAGATCATGTTTCAATATATGGAATTCATCCTTTGATCCTTATTCAGTAACCCTTAGACATTAGAATAGCACCATCACATAGATTATTTGGGATATTATAGGAATTGATGCTAATTCCTACTAATTTACATTGATTCCTATTTCTGGCTTGAACTAATGCACTGCAGGGTGATTTTTTTTGTTGAAGGAGATAGAATGAATATATTCTAGGTCTGAAAAATTGTAATAAAACCTAGTTTTGTTAGCGAATAATCTAGAAATAATACATCCAAATATAAAATTCCTTTCCAAGATACCATTTTAAAGCTGCATGTATTCCTGAGCTGTTGCTCAAAATGTTTTAAGAATACTTCTTTAAAAAGTGCCACTCTTCTTCATGGTGCCAAGTTTGGCCCTTGGAGGGTAGTTTCAGCTTTTGGAAACAGGCACAAGTTTAGAACCATTTCTGGCTTTAAGACCAGTGAATGAACTTGATTTTTTCACCTGCAAAATATTCCTCCCCCTACCCCTTTTCCTTTTGAAAAAAATGGATACTCTTTAACTTTTGTATATCACATAACCAGTCTGCTCTAACTTACAGTACCAAAAATAGCAGATATACACAAAACCAGAGCAAGCATCCTGAACCCCTCTGTACCTTGCTGTTAATTTTTATTGCACTCTTTGTGAGCAGTGTTTGGCCAGAACAACCCTAGACCAAGGTCTGCATCCTTGCCGCCTGCAAATGTCAGCACAGCGACGACACATGAACTTCTCATTCGTCACAGGCCATTGTTCCAATTTTAGAAAGCCTCTGTCGCCTCCAGCTGTTCCATTGTTTAACCTTTATTAACCCATAACCACCTTCCCCTGATGTGAGGGCAGAGAAAGGAGACAACTGTGTTCTGTGCACCATTCTAGTTGCCCTGGCAATATGATTTGAAGTTTTTCTAAAAAATTTTTAGGAAGTGAACAGTTTACAACTGATTTTTTAAAATAATCTTCTTAAATAATTTCAAAATATTTCAAAATTTTCTGTGACATATAATAATACATCTGTGTATACAGTGTTTTAAATAGTCACAAAAGTAAATTTAGGATTTTTCCCAAGTTTACTAATATTAAATTTTGCTAGTGATTGTTATATCTATCGCGGTTACTGTTTATCATGATTATTAAATTATATACAGAAGGGAGAAATTTTTTTTTATATACAGAAGGGAGAAATTTATAAGTGGTGATTTTATTAATCTTACAAAGACCTTGTTATCTTCACTTAAAGCCATATTTTTATTCTTTCACCTAATTCTCAAGCCCTAGAGGGAAAAAAATCCTGGTATATATCCAAAAGAAGCACATAGATCATTTTTGATGAGCCTTTTAAGCTGGTTGGCTATTTTCAGTGATAATATTCCACTTTAGTGAAAAAGTCTTTGTCTCCCTTTGGGGTAAAATTTTGTTTCTTACTCAATGGGTATAATACATTTCAATGACACATAGTGATGATACCTTTCATATTTTGATTGGCACTAAGTTCAGACCAATTTTTATAGAACTTGATAACTTTTTAAACCTTTCTTGCATTTAACTTTGAGAGAGCATGCATTTTGCAATATCTCATCAAAATGTCAAATTAACTATGGACCATTCATTCTCAAAGTTGAAAAGTTGGTGGTAAAAAAATGTTTCATGACTTAAATCCATCTGTCCTTTCTAGGAAGCTGTGTTTATGGCAGTGGATAGACAAATTTTGAAATCAGGACACTTTGAGGACTTTTAGTATTCAGTCTGAATATTAAATATTTAAATTTATCATTTAGCTATGATTATACTATAATTAGAAAAGGTGTTTTAAAAAATGATTGTTTAGAAATGTGTTATTCTCCCAAGGAACCTAGGAAAGACAAAAGTTGTTATTCCGCAGAGAAACCAGTTTTAAGTAGAGCTTTCCTGTTTCTTATTTTGTTCTTGTTTTTAAGCTGAAAATACAGTAAGCTAGTATTTTCCTTCCAGCCGCCCAGTCAGTCGTCATCTGTTAATAACACTTGCACTTAGAGATTTTCAGGAACTGTTCCAGGTATGATGTAGGCTATGGGAAAACCTTTTCACTGGGCTGTTCAGAGGATACAGATGTTCTGCTTCAGTAAAATTCTTGCAGTGGTGCGCTAGGGCCAGCTCCCACTGGTTTGCTGGTACCAATGATTACATTTTCAGGATTTTTATGAACTGATTGCAAAAACAGCCATCAGTAAAAATTAGATGTATTGATAATATACATATACTTAACAAATAAATTACATTAAAAAACACTTAAAACTCATCCTTTCTAATGATTATATCCATAATCTTGAGGTTCTTTACATCTGTTTTCTCTGTGTGGTGTGCCCCTTACTATAGTATGTCTTTCCAGCTCTACATCTTGTGAAGTCACACTGGTAGCTTGAAACTGGCCATGGTGAGAGTGTTCACATCCTGGGATTCGATAAACACTACAGACCAGGCCTTTTTTTTTCCCTCCTGGAGAGCTTGCGATTAAATATGTATCAGCACACCACTGATTTTAGGCTAAATGAACTATTAATTCAAAAGTCTCCCTACTTTAGCCTTTGATTAAAAAAAAAAACTTTCTAAAAAGTGTTAGGGCATTTTCCTATTAAATGTGTAGACCATCCTGAGTATCATTGTTCCAAATGCTCATGGGATCTTTCATACCTAAGATTTCTATAATGCCCTGAACAGTCATCTTAAACGTTAGCAAGATCACCTCTCACAACATGTAAAAAGAAGGTTGTTATTTCCAGGTCAACTTTATATAAACTATATCAAGTGGGAAACTGTTTATATGACTTGTGCCATTTTGTCTCATTGCAGCTGCCACTGGCGACATGCCGACTTACCAGATCCGAGCTCCGACTACGGCTTTGCCACAGGGAGTGGTGATGGCTGCCTCCCCCGGAAGCCTGCACAGTCCCCAGCAGCTCGCAGAGGAAGCGACTCGCAAACGAGAGCTGAGGCTCATGAAAAACAGGTAAGGCGTTTCATTAGAAACTGCGGCCGCCTAGGGGACCTATCAGTTACTACTTGTCCTCAGCTATTTCTCCCAAGTTACGTGTTCTGTGGCATTTTGGGTAGACTCCTGCTGTGCTTGTGCTCATAGGTAGGTTTTCTAATCAGAGTTCCAGCCATGAAACTTTCATCAGCTGAGGTTGATGAAACACCCCTGTGTTGTAGGGTAATATCTAAATGATACATTAAATTTTTTTAATGATAACAGAAGGACTTTATTACAAATAAAGATTCACTTTATACTTGGTATTTACTTTGTGAAATAGATGATAAGTAATTTTTAGCTTCTTAGCAACTATACTCAATAAAAATTAATTTAATCATTATTTTTTTTAAAATTATCATTATTTAATTTGTCAGTACGGTCAATATAATTATCATTATTATGAAATAAGACATTCAGATACAATGAAAACCTTAGAAAATGGTTCGATGATGACAATGAAGTACTTCTATACTTTTTACAAAAAGACTGAAATAAAATAATTGCCTGACTTGTTTGTTTTTATTATTTATTTTAATTGGAGAATAATTGTTTTACAATATTGTGTTGGTTTCTGCCATACATCTGCATGAATCAGCCATACGCATACATATGTCCCCTTCCTCTTGAACCCTCTTCCCACCTCCCACCCCATCCCACCCCTCTGACTTGTTAAATAAAGAGCCTGTTACAAAAAAAAAGAAACTTCTTTATGAACAAAATAAATTTGAGTGTGAGTTCTGAATTTTCTAAGTCTTTTACATGTAGATTTTTTCTACCAATTTTGTAACTTTGTTTTTTTCTCTATTATACCAAACTACAGTCTATTCTGAAAAATTCTAGCTGAGTGCAGGGACAAAGCAAGAGGAAGAATTAAAATTACCCACAGCCCCACCATGTAGAGACACCTCCTGTAGTACATATACTTCTAGTTCCCTCTCTTATTTTCTCACATGTTCTGCATATTTCCTAGGCTAGAAATAACTGAGACAGTCCCTAGGTGCGAGGAATTCTGAGAAGGGTCTATTTTAGCTTCCAGATTTCAGTTTCAGAGCAGGACAAGAGAAAAGCAGATGACAAATGGCTGTTCGGTTGCTCAGTGTCTGTTGAGCAATTTTCAATGCTTGTTCCTACCATTTCTTTAACTTGCAGGCACATAGCTTTCACATGAGAATAGGTCTAGTTATTCTCCTTACTTTCCATGGGCTTCCCTGGTGGCTCAGACCATAAAGAATCTGCCTGAAATGCAGACCTGGGTTCCATCCCTGGGTCAGGAAGGTCCTCTGGAGAAGGGAATGGTTACCCACTCCAGTATTCGTGCCTGAGAAATCCCATGGACAGAGGAGCCTTGTGGGCTATAGTCCCATGGGGTTGCAGAGTCAGACATGACTGAGCATACACACACACACACACACACACACACACACACACTTTCTCCTTACTTTTGCTCTCCTCAACTCAGGCTAACAGAGCACAAGAAACAAAAAAATAAAGATCACACAGCCCAAACTGCATGAGACATGCATGACTAAACACACACACACACACACACACACACACACACACGCACACTTTCTCCTTACTTTACAGATGAGCAGCTGAGGTTCAGAGAGGTCAGGTAACAAGCTGGTTAAGATCACACAGCCCAAACTGCATGGAACCTGGAACTGCATTCAGGTTGTCTTTACCCAGAGCCCACACAGCACTAACAGTGAGGTCACCTGCAAGAGACCTCTGCACATGTAGTTGTGTGACCTTACAGAAAGAATTAAAACTACTCATAGCCCCTCCATGGAGAGACACGTAGGACTGACTTATTCATGTAAAAGATCTATTACACATTCTCTCTTTAAAAAGACTAAATTCTTTGGCTGGCATTCATAATAGATACTTAATTGTATTTCTACCAATCCCACGATGGTTTTTATTTTTTTAACAAGCTTATCAGCTTTTCCTCCTTGCTGTGTATTTCTTCTCCATGCCAAGGATATCTTCAGACAAATGCAAGACCTGAAAGCTGAGCTAACTATTAATAGAAGAAACAGGTGTTTTCCGTAGCTGAGACAACTTAGGAATGTACCACCTACTGGTATGACCATCCAGAGTGTTGTGCCTAGAACATTTTGACTCTGGTAACATGCAGGCAGACACATGAAACACGAAGTATGGATATTTCACTAGAAATAGTTCACCTTGGTAAATAAAACTTGAAAAACTAGATATCCCACAACACTGCTCTTCAATATTTAAAATTTAATTTCATGGTAACTTGTTTTATAAAATGACTATCTTCCTTCCAGATCTAGAATTTCATGATTTAATCATGAAAAACTTGGTGTTCAGAAATGTATTTTCATTTCTTTGTGAAAGAGTTGAATTATGTTCTCAAACTGCCAGGTGTGATTGGAGTTATTCTTGACTTTGCCATATGAATCATTTATATTAACTTAATCTGTGTTTATCAGATTTGGCTCACTTTTACACTGTTAATTTTTCTGTTAACCAGTTGAAAAGTCTGAGAACATCTTAAATTAACAGGGCGATGGTATTGTTCTCAGCTAGGCAGTAAGGCTTGATCTCTTCCTGCGGTTCATTGGGATTTCAAGGTCTCTCTTCTGCTGACCCTTACTTCCCACAGAAAAAAACACAGATAACCAGTTGTTAGTGAGCGTCAACTACCCCCAAACATAAAACAGAATCAGCCAAGTGTGTCCACATGTCAGTCCTAGTTCAGCATTGTAGCAGAGGTAACTGGCATTACAGTAGCTGGTAATTAGACATTCAAAACAACTTTTGTTTATATATTTGAATTATCTGTTTCAACGTAGGCTTTTTGATACGATGTGTACCCGAAAGGCAGTTCTTCTCAAAGGAATGCTCCAAAACAAAGCTGTGATCAAAGGGTGTCTTCTGCAGAGGAGTTAAATGATGTGGTTGCCACCTCCTCCCTCTCTGAAAAAAAAAAGGAGAGAAAATGTTGGCTGTGTCCATTGTTTTTTGGTGGGGTTATGCATAAAATGACTAACTCAGCTCATAGGTTCATTTGTGTGTGTTGCTTTGGCTGCTGGTCTGGTCTCCTTTGGGCATGTCTGCACTGCTTTCTGTCCTGGTTTGCAGATGAATGTCTCATGTCCTTTCCATGATTTCTGTCATGGCATTCTCACATTTCCATGTTTAAGTTGTCTGAATTACTGAGGGTTGTATTCTGTACCCTCTCTCCTCTCCCTTAATTTTCAAAAGCCTAGTCCCTTTAATTTTGGTTTATGAAAATGTGCATGACCTGTTATTCTTATCCGTGTTGTTTTTCCAGCCAATAAATTATTGCTTGCCGTCCCAATTGATCTTGTCTTAACTGAGATTTAGTCTTGAAGAATGAAAACCTCCCATACTGAGGTTTAAGGTTGCTGAGGATTAATTTTTCTAATCATTTTTGATCAAAGTTAACTCGTGATGGAACATGTGGCTTTTGGTGGACAAAGATAGTTAAGAGAATTGAACAGATCTGTAATTTTTTTTTTTTTGGTAGAAAGTCATGTGGAGATGTGTTCCTATCGTTTTGGTTACTGAAAACCTTTCTGGCCCCTGTGACCATGGGCCATGTGCCCTAAGGAAACACCTTGTACCACAGATGCCGGGCCAGTTGTCGCTCTGCCATCGCTCGTGCTGGCTGAGGGTGACCACACGCCCAGGCATGTGCTTGGTCACAGCTGTCGTGTGGTCTGTCCAGACCTGACCGAGGACCACCTGGTGGTTGAGCCTGGGGGGCCGCTCTGGACTGCGCTGAGAGGTTGTTCCCCTTGTCACTTGCCTTGTGTTGGTTCCAGGGAAGCTGCCCGGGAGTGTCGCAGGAAGAAGAAAGAATATGTCAAGTGTCTTGAAAACCGCGTGGCTGTGCTTGAAAACCAAAACAAGACCCTCATTGAGGAACTCAAGGCCCTCAAAGATCTTTATTGCCATAAAGCAGAGTAACTGTCTTTGGCTTGGACCTTGTTTGCTCTGAACTCTAATCAAGGCAGGAGGTGCAGCCATGCTACTAATTGCCATGTGGAATGACTTGTGGAAGGGACCCCAGTGACCCTTGAGAACCCAGTTTGGCTTTAGTGTTTGAAACTGAATGAGACCTCTTGTCCCAGGATGGGGAACGCAACCATGATCATACTTCCCAAGCCTCCTTCAGCCTCCTTGTCAGTAGCGTGCATGCGAAAAAATGTTTTGTTTGCCCTTTTGCTTTCTATTTTCTTTCAGGGAAGCTGCTAAAGAATGTCGACGTCGAAAGAAAGAATATGTCAAGTGTCTGGAGAGTCGAGTTGCGGTGCTGGAAGTTCAAAACAAGAAGCTTATAGAGGAACTGGAAACCTTGAAAGACATTTGCTCTCCCAAAACAGATTAGTAGAAATATTTAACTATGAACTGATTACAACCTGTACAGTTGCTTTTGAAGGCAATACAATATATAGCTGGCAAGAATTATGGCTTTTTTTTCCTCCTTTGTATCATTCAGCGTATTTTCTAATCTCTAACATTCCCAAACTGCTTCACTGTACGTAGTTAACTCTTAGCTATAACTTCAATTTTTTTTTTAAAGAGACAAACTGTAAAAAAAAGTCTGTAACAGATTCTTAAAATGCAATATTTGTAAGACTTGTTCCAATGCCACATATTTGCAGTTCCCAATCTTTGTGTCATGAATAGTGTCCTATGCAATAAAAATTTTTGCAGATCTTTAAAAATCATTTTAGGAAAGGGTGATCAAAGATAAATGCATCCAGCAGTACAATAAAAATAAACCACAAAAAATACCTCAGGAGAGAATGGAGAGAAAGGAATGGAAAGAATCTAGTGACATGCCTATGTGAAAATAATAGCCTATAAATGAATTTATGGCATTTGCAGATTTTTATATTGGTTGCTTTGTAAAGAAAATATTGTATTGCTGTCCTTGAATGCCAGAGTTGACAACAGTTTTTAATAGAACCATGTTGGTTACACTTTGTGGTGTTTGGTGCTCTTTTAACTATCCAAACATTGACTACAGTTTTTACTCTATGGTGTAATATAAAAGATCTTGCAGAGCTTTTAGTGTCAGTTTGCTCTTAAGGTGATGAAAGGTGACATATATTTTAATACCTGTGCCGAGTTACAAGTTCAAATTGTATTTGCAGACCTTCACGGGCTCCACTGCCGATTTCCACAGTGGGCCGTGTTCTCTGCCACGTGTTCTTTCTGCCGTCATCTCAGAAACCCAGCCCCAGGGCTTAGCTGTATACAATGGAGTACCTCTGAGAGATTCAGCTGGTGTGATGGACTAGGCCTCTCTGCACATGGCCTGGAAATCTCCTGCTGGTGACCCTCTACTTTGAGTTTTGGCTAACAACCATGGGAGGGTTGTTTTTTTTTTTTTTAATATTTGTTTGTTCGGCTGCGTCAGGGCTTAGTTGCGACACACGGGATGTTTTGCTGCTGCGAGGACTCTCTAGTTGTAGCACGTGGGCTTAGTTGCCCCACAGACTGTGGGATCTTAGTTCCCCGATCAGGGATCCAATCCAAGCCCCTTGCATTGCAAGGCAGATTCTTAACCACTGGACCACCAGGGAAGTCCCACCGTAGGAATTTTAAAGGAAAATCTAAGACAACGCAAGATTTTATTTTTCACTTCGAAACAGCTACTTGTAGATCAAATACTTTTTTGAGTCAGCACTTTCAGATGAAGTTCATTATATCGAGTAGATTATTACTGGTATTCACATCTCATCCTGCTTTTAGAATAAAAAACCTCGAAGACACGTGTAAGCCCAAAGCCCTGACCACAAGGTACTCTGTCACCTCACTCACTCGCGGGACATCTGCTGAGGGCCTCCTGTGGGCTGGACTCGCCTTGGTTTCTGCTGTAACTCCCGACCTGTGAAGGCTGCCTCTCCCCCAGTTTCAGCAGCGGAGCCAGTTACTGTGTGGAGGAGGCGTGTGGGGTGCAGGCCAGGAGGCCGCTGTGTGGCATCTCAGTGCCACCCCCATGGCGTCATCTCTTATCTGTAACTCCCAGGAGGCCAGGTGCACCGTTAGAGGCTTTCTCTAGAAATACTTAATCCACCCCTCAGAGCCTGAGCTCTGAATCTCTTTTATCTCAATGTTTGTCTTTCATTCTACAGAGAAGTAAGATGAGGAAAGAAGATAAGAAAGAAAAGAGGAAAGGAAAGCCCCAGGTTTCAAGTGAAGGAGAAGGGTGCTTGGTACTCACACAGTCATCATTCACTCCATCACTCAACCTTTCATTCAGTCGCTCAGAGTCTGTGTCAATGAGATGTATGTTCAGAAGTGTGGACACTGAGAGGGTGACCCAGGGGTCAGCAGACGGGGCGTAAACAAGTTGATGCAGGAGATGCAGTAGGTCAGAATGGGAGGCAGATGTGGGTGGAGCCAGACTTGGGAGTGACTGGAAATGCAGCGGGTGAGGGTGGGTGTGTCAAATGGGGTACGGAGCAGACACCCCCTCCTAGGAGAAGAGTCAAGGAGATGGAGGAGGTGAAGTTAGGACTCATGGCGGGGGTGTCCATTTGGTTCGACAGAGACTGTGAGTATACATGTGTACCCCAACTCTGTCATTTCAGGGGAAGGAGATTGCATCTGACTACTTGGGACCTCCAGATAGCCAATGCCCCCCCTTTTCCCCAGTAGTTTAAACATGAGGAAATATTATCATCTCACAAGACACCAGGCCCAGAGATTCAGTGGCTCAACATGGCCTCACGAGCATTGGCTCCGTGTGTAGGTTAGTCTCCCAATCCTGATGTCATTGCCTGGATACAGGCATCAGAGGGCAGTTGGCAGCACCTCTTCTGGTTGTCCTGTCTTCAGAACAGAAAACCTGCACAGAAGACCTTCTGCAGGTCTCACCAGCTGAGTCTCACCTGCCAGATGCTCATTGTCGCCTTCTGTAGCTGCTCACTGGCTGGAGAGTGGAGTTAAAAGCTCTGGATTCCTAGTGAGGAAGCAACCTCTGGGGCTGGAAGGGCGGCCAGCTTCTGTGAAGCATATGGCCAATTGGTGTTGAATAGAACTGGATTCTGGAAGAGCCAGGTGTGGGCAGCTAATGGGGTCTCCCATATTGGGGATGTGCAAGGCTGCAGCTGGCCGGGAGCTGGGGACCTCAGTGGGAGCTGAGGCTGGAGCTGCACACGACTTCCCCGGATTCTGGCTCATCTGATTTGTACCTTGGAACCTCATCTTTTGCTGCTAGATTAGCACAATGTGCTAGCTCTCCACCCAGTGTTAGCAGATACTGCCTGCAGCCTCCTGGTGGATGGAGCCAGAGGTAAGCTAGAAGCTGTGTGAACATCATTTGTCTCATGCAGCAGTGTTGCATGGAATCCAGAGCTGTCACTCTTTCTGTGACTTTATTCTTTTAATCCTAAGAGTTTCTGCACCTGTACTATTGGAAATAGAAATTACTGACCCTAGGTTGGAGGATTACACCACCTTGTCAGATTTAACTAGGTGGCTTGTGAGGTGAAATTGCTCAGAATGGAAGAACAGAGGGAGGACATTGTTGGGTGTGTGGCCAGGAGCTCTGCACTTGCCCGAAGTAGGACCATTTGTATCAGCAGCCTCGCCTCCCTGCTTCCTTCATCACTTCTTCTTATGTCCACTAAGACTGTGCCTTTATGCCTAAAGTACATTTTTAAAATATGAGGACTCTTGAAACCAACACACTGCTTTTCTAGTTCTCATCCAAAAATAATGGCGTGATTTGGGCACATGTGCGGCATAGGCTGCCCCTGAGACTCAGCCAGCCCTGCTGAGTTATCAGCACTTCACAAGCTTCTCGGCAGCTGAGGTGCCGAATCTGAGGTGGTCCTAGACACCCAACCCCATGCCAGCTACTCAGGCATGGCACAGTTTAATCTTTATGCTTTGTGCGTAAGCTTCTCTATAAATCCATTTTCTCCTAATATATTTCATATTCGTACATTTCAGAATTCCAAATATATTTTTTTTAAACACAAAGCATTGTTAACACAGTGTCCTTTGTACTTCAGAGATTTATTTTGCCACAGGGTACTGTGTGATGACTCATGACGAGATTTAAGGTTAAGTCTCTTCACACATAATTCCATCAAAGATGGAAAATGAATAAAACAAAAGTAACCTTGCACTCTGTTACAGTAGGTTGTATGTGCTTAAATGAAATGCAACCCTTCTTATTTCTAAGCCAGTCTTAGTTTTCAGGAAGATAGAGGTTTTTGTTTTTTCAGATTTCCTTATTTTAAAAAAATGTTTGTTTGTTTATGTGTAAATAGTACCAAAGCTCACTGTGGGTTGCGCTGTACACACTTCATTACCATTTGTTTTTACTTTATTTTTATTTTTTGGCGGAGGGATCTTAGTTCCCCGACCAGGGGATTGAACCAGTGACCCTTGCTTTGGGAGTGTGGAGTCTTAACCACTGAACCACCAGGGAGTCCCTGTTCTTGCTTTTAATCCAGACCTTTACTTTCCTGGGCCATCGATCACATATGGAGATAAAGCCCTGCTCCAAATCTACGAGTTCCTTGGATCTTTGAGCAGAAAGAATCAGAGCCTGAACTTAACACCCTTCCTCCCCTCTCTGTGCCCCTGTGGCTTCTGCCCAAAGCCCTGAGGTGGGGGCAGGGGATGAGGAGGCCTGTGAGGCTCCACTTTCAGCTCCCTAACTGTCCGGGGGGAAGGTGTCACCTTTAAAAAATAAATTGTACCCTTTTACTTTTCAGAAATCAACTTTATTTTTTAATATAGGTAAGACATATTTGAGATTCAAAATTCAAGGGATACAAAGGTATAGAGTGCAAAGTCTTGTTTCCCATCCTCGGCTCCAGTCACCCGGGAGGCAGCTGCGGTCATCCGTTTCTTTTTTGGGAAAGAGATTCATGGTTGATGCCTCCTGTTTCCGTAAATTGTTGCACCATATTCAGCACTGTGATGAGAGGTTTCTGGAAAGAGACCTGCGGAGTTGGGCAGCATGTTCATTGCTACAAGTGAGAAAGGGTCTGGAAGGAGAGAGGGCCAAGGCCCGTGGCAACACTGCACTTCTGGACTCTTCTGTTACATCCTGAGTCCGGTGGAGGCTCCAACCGCACAGCTGTTGTCCAAAGTAATGGCTGCCATTTACTGAGTGCTGTCCCCGTGCCTGGCACCAAACTGCGTGCCATACGGGGCTTATCGCACCTAAGTCTCATCAGTACTGGTGCTTTCGCCAGCATCCCCATCTTGCAGATGAGGAAGTAGACTTTGAGAGGGTTAAGTGACTTGCCCAAGGTCATACAACTGTTAGGGCTCAGGGCCGAGAACAAACCTGGTAGGGAGCAAGGGAACCTGGGCCCAAAGCACGAAGGTGGCCGGAGGGCATGTGTACTGGCCAGGTGGGTGTCGGCTGGAGACAGCTCTGTGGTCCCACTGGGCAGACTTAAGAACACCCGAACCCTTCCTGTTGTAATGAACAAGAGCATGGACCCATTTCTTTTTAAAACTTTTTTATGTTGAAATATAGCCAATTAACAATGTCGTGATAGTTTCATGTGCACGGCAAAGGGACTCAGCCGTACATGGACATGTATCCATTCTCCCCTAAACTCCCCTCCCATCCGGGCTGGCACATAACACTGCGCAGAGTTCCCTGTGCCTATGGCAGGCCCTTGCCAGTTATCTGTTTGAGAGCATGCATCCATTTCTCTCTGGTGTTTAAAATCCATGAAGCCGATCAGGAGAAGATGGCACCACAGATTGAGGATTAGATGTTGGGCTATCAAAGCTGCAGACTTACACACTGGAATAGAATCCTCAAGCTAAAAGAAGTCATAAAGGTGTAACTTACTGCTTTGATTTTATAGACAAGGAAACCAGATTTCAGGTTGATGTATTTAAATGTTGATAGTTACTGGGAATGGCGAGATTAGAAACACTCAGAAGTCTTAACTCCATTACCACGGTGCCTCTCTTTTTTTATAAACTGGATTTT